GCACGCAGCAGAGCAGCACACCAGAGCCAGCAGCACGGCACGAGGCGCAGCTCGCCGCAGCGCTGCAGCTTTCCCCCCACCGCTAATTCCCATTAGCGTTCGCAGGGGCTGCCCTGTTCGGCAGCTCCGAGTGCCAGAGCCGAGACCAGCAAGGAGGAGACACCAGGGCGTTTCCTTAGGACGTCGAGAGACTTTGGGAGGCCGTCAGACAAACGGGGACGGATGCGAGTTCCGCTCGGCACCGGGGACTGTCGCTCCGTGTGTCGGCACGCAGCGGATGCATTTGCATTTCTTGGATTGCTTCCCACGTGGAGCCCAGCGCACCAAGGGCCAGCGCGCCCCACGACGTGTGAGTGCGGATTACAAGGCACCACAGCGGGTCCCATGGGAGAATTCCAACAATGCAGGACGAGCCGGGGATGCGGAGCAGAACGTGGCAGCGGCGACGGGCCCGGAGCCTTCGCAGCCCTTCTGGGATCCCAGCACGGAGGAAAAACCGGCACGGGGAGCTGCTCCCAGAGAGGGAAATTCCCCTGCGCGGGGCTGCAGGGCAGGATCCCGCACGTGTGAGCGGTGCCGGTTCCTCCCGCGCCCGGGTCCGTCCTCGCGGCGCCGCTCCGGCCTGTCCTGCCCGGCGGCTCCGGCTGCTGCCCCGGCGCCGGGTCCGGCACGAGGGGCCGGTCCCGGCACGAGGCGCCGCTCCGTCCGCGGGCGGCTCACACCACCCGAGGCTGGTACTTGTGGAAGGCGTTCTCCAGGAAGGCGGCCAGCTTCTCGCAGTCATCCTGGCGGGAAGGGCGAGACGGAGAGAGGATTCAGCGCGGGATTCACCCGCTACCGCGCGCGTCTCTGCTCCTCCTCGCAGCCGTGCCCCCCGCAGCACCCCGCAGTCGTGGCTGAGCTCTGGTGCAGGAGAACACCCTGCAACCTGCTGCATTCATCGCTGCATCTACCACTGAAGCCCGGAGCTCCCTTTGGAGCCAGGCGAGCACCAAAGCACAGCCGGTTGTTGGGAGCTTCCAGTCAAAAACAACAAAACACGTTCAGCTCTTGCTATTAAAAAAGGAAAATTAACGTTTTTTTCTTGTTGACATGGCATCTGTTTTGCCTCAAATCTCTTATACATTCGGGAGGGAGTTGTCTCTGCCACGACTACCTGTCTTTTCCCTAGGAAAAAGACTTGTGGTTCGTGAAGGGGGCAAATCGGCCTCACCTTGTAGCACGGGGGCTACTGGAACTGCCAGAGACCAAATTCTCAAACTGGGAAAAAGAGAAGGGTTTAAAAGGGTTTTTCTCCTGCTGCTCCGAGGCTCCCTGTTGTCACTACTGCTGCTAAACTGCCTGCCCACTGCTCCTTATAGCCTAAGAAGAAACACGAAGGTAGGATTTTAAGCTACAGATGGTGGAGTTAGACCAGGAGCTGGGAAACCAGAGAAGTGTTGGGGTCCTTCAGGTCAGAAACGGGCAGGATTCTCCCCAGCTCAAACACAAGCTCCGAGTTCCATGAATCAGCTTCAATAACTGCCCGAGAAAACGGGAGGCTGGTGCCTGAGGAACAGGGGAGGTGCTGGGGAAGGCAGGGGGGACGGGGAGACACCCCAGGAGGAGGAAGAGGAGGGAAGGTGTTGGAGGAGGCAGTGGGGACAGGGGGGACCCCCGGGCTCTCACCTCGTGGATGAATCCATAGTGCACCAGCTCCGTGGCCAAGTCCCTGGAGTTGTCGGCTGCAGAAACAGAGCGCAGTGAGAAGAGGAAATCCCTGGATCTGCCGGTTCCTGCTCTGCCGGTGACGAG